ATCACACATGAGCTCAAATGGTAAGCTCCAATTTGGCGCGGTGATAATAGGAGTGGTAGTCAAGAATATTTGGATAGATTGTATTATTTGTCATCGTTTCATGATGTCATGCACCAATAATATGAAGAATAAACTTGCAATATTCTAAAGAAAAAGTAAGGTACAAGATAGAATTATTATATAAAAAGGTAGAGTAAAAGATAAAATAAGATTGTTTAATAATAAGGAGGGGCAAGATGAGAAAAAAGAATAAAGGAATGACGCAACCACATCAAATTAGTCGTTCCATAGAGTCATATTTTTCATACTATGTAACGTCGAATTTAACGATACGATACAATGAAATTTAAGGAAAAATTAAAATAAATATTACTCTCTCCGGTCCACTTTAATTGATTTGACTGTTTTCATACATATTAAGAAATTCACCTTTAGAATTAATTAACAATAAAATTAACTATATTAATCTTAATTTATTTATTAGAAATATAACAAACACTTATTGGTTCTTTACTCCAAGTCCAACTTAAAAGAAAAATAATTTTTTTATATTTAAAATAAATAAATATTATGAACAATAAAAAAATTAATTAAAATAAACCGATAAAAATATATTTAAAGTAACAATAAGTACCCTCCAAACAAGTTGCAAGTGGATGGGAGTTGAGACGGAACAAAAGTCCCACACGTCACGTTCCTCATTTTTATTTGAAGAAAAGAAAAAGCAGTGAACAATTTGCTATGGCTATTTCAATATCCTCTGCCCAATTATTCGCTTCAATTCAGCCATTGCTCCCTTCTTCTTCTCGCTCTGTTTTCCTCAGAAAAAGTTTATCTTGTTCATCCTCAAAATACATGGAACAGCAGAATGAAAACAAGTCGAAATTGAAGGAATTTCCTTACGTGTCGGTCCCACATAGGGAGTTGATGGTTGAACTTATATCGACTGTGGAGAATCGGCTTGGAACAGCTCTTCTGCCTTGTACTCTGCCTACTAACGTGCAGTACTTTGAGAATTCGACTGCTACTGCTCATGCTTCTCTCTATGTCAGATCTGGCCACTCCTCTTCCCAGGTACCCCTCATTTAACCTCCACTACTTATATGTGAATACTACTTTATTGAAGAGCACAGTTTATATTGCGGTGTTTGGCTGAGTACAGAGTTTAAGGCCAAAATAACTTAGAATTTATGGTTTTAGACATGTCAAGTGATATATGCGGAGCCAGAATTTGAAGCTTATAACTCGAGGATTCTAGTCCTTTTAAGTTATTGAGTTTTAAATTAATAATTTGAATGTATTCAATGGATTTTCTAACACAAGTATATGGTTTGGCCCAAAGCTATTAAGTTCGGCCGAACCCTTAACCTAAACTCTAACTTAGCCCTTGTGCCAGGATAATTTTTTATGGCTATAATAGGATGTCATGAAGGATCAAATGCACAGTTTAAAATTAAAGAATTTCCAAATATAAAAAAGTGACATTCATTTTTAAACAGAAAGGAAAGAATGCTATGTGTTTGACTCAAAATATATTGAAACCTTTTTGAACAAATCAATCAAAGAAAATGAAGGGTAAATCCTAGTTAAGGATAATTAACTCTAGATCCGAGATGAATAATATGAATAGAAAAACATAGCCGAGTATAAATGTTGACAGTGATTATGACCAGATTTAATAGCATAAAGAAAGATGCATTAAGTAACATTAAGTGGCAATAAAATGTAAATAAAGGAAAAGATTCACTCAATCTTGAGTGGGACGGATCTTCTTTTATTTGATAAAGATGAATGATAGACAAATACAAGAACCTTAGGACCCTTGTTGGATCTGATGAAGGTCTGGGATCATAGATCCTCCTATCTCTTTAGAGAGATGTGTTTACATATATTCTAGAGAGAGGGAGAAGGAAAGAGCCCGAGAGCCCCCTTGGGAAGTCCTCCCTTCCTATATATAAGGGGTATTCCTAGAAAAACCCTAAAAGAAAAGGTACAATTAGAGGGAGTATTTAGTAGAATATTCCTTTTGAGGATTCCACAGCAGACTAGTTGTTTCATCACTGCCCACCTCGTCTTGTCCGACCTTGGCCTGTCCGACCTCGGCCTTATTGATGATTGTCCGACCTCGGCTTGTCCGACCTTAGCCTGTCCGACCTTAGTTTTATTGATGATTGTCCGACCTCGGCCTTACGTCTCCGTGTGCTGAATTTCTCTGATCTAATTTTGACCCATACAGTTAGTCCTTCCGTTTATCGAGGTCGTCTCTTGGTTGAGCTCGGTGAGCGGACTTCATTAATCACAATTCGAGAAATTCGGATGGAGAGGTTGACTAGTATGGATTGTGGCTGAGGGTGCCGATGCCGAGGGAGAATTTCTTGGAGAGGTGGTGAAGAGGGTGGTGATAGTGACGCCGAGTGAAAAGATAGCTGTCTGTTTTGACTATTGATCCAGGCCGTATGTAATCCGCAACTATTTGCGCAGTGACTTTGTATAAAGAAGAATTTTTTGTTGTTATTCGCCTTGTACTTTTTTGTGTTTTTGCTTTTCGCGACTTTGGTGCAAGGTAGATTCCCGTGTGGCGAGTCCCGGTCTTTCTTTCCCTTTATATTTTCTGACGGTACTTGGTCTTAGGAAAATTTCGAATTCTCTTTGGCGATGGCTCGTAGCCCCGAGGGTGCGTTTTCGAACTTTTATCGAAATATCATCCCGTCGTTGTCCGATCAAGGTCGGACTCTTCTTTTTGGCGAAGGCCCATGGCCTTAGAGGGTATTATTTCGATCTTATCGAAATATTGACCCGTCACCGTTCGATCGAGGTTGAACCCTTCTTTTTAGCGAAGGCCTTTGGCCTTAAAGGGTGTTATTTCGAGCTTGTCGAAATGTTAACCCATCGTGGTTCGAACGAGGCCGAAGGTTGATTCGGACGAGGCTGAAAGTTTATTTGGTCGAGGCCGAAGGTTGATTCGGACGAGGCCGAAGGTCGATTCGGACGAGGCCGAATGTTGTTTCGGTCGAGGCCGAATTCTTCTTTTTGGCGATGGCCCTTGGCCGTAGGGGTCGACCTATTCTTTTTTGGCGACGGCCCTTGGTCGTAAGGGTCGAGCCCCTCTTTTTTGACGATGGCTCTTGGCCGCAAGGCCGATTCGGACGAGGCCGAATGTTGTTTCGGACGAGGCCGAATGTTGGTTCGGACGAGGCCGAATATTGTTTCGGTCAAGGCCAAATTCTTCCTTTTGGCGATGGCCCTAGGCCGTAGGGTCAACCTATTCTTTTTTGGCGACGGCCTTTGGCCGTAAGGGTCGAGCCCCTCTTTTTTGGCGATGGCTCTTGGCCGTAAGGTCGATTCGGACGAGGCCGAATGTTGTTTCGGACGAGGCCGAATGTTGGTTCGGACGAGGCCGAATTCTTCTTTTTGGCGATGGCCCTTGGCCGTAGGGGTCGACCTATTCTTTTTTGGAAACGGCCCTTGGCCGTAAGGGTCGAGCCCTTATTTTTTGGCGATGGCTCTTGGCCGCAAGGTCAACCGGACGAGACCGAATGTTGTTTCGGACGAGGCCGAATTCTTCCTTTTGGTGATGGCCCTTGGTCGTAGGGGTCGACCTATTCTTTTTTGGCGACGGCCCTTGGCCGTAACGGTCGAGCCCCTCTTTTTTGGCGATGGCTCTTGGTCGTAAGGTCGATTCGGACGAGGCCGAAAGTTGGTTCGGAAGAGGCCGAATGTTTGTTCGGACGAGGCCGAATTCTTCTTTTTGGCGATGGCCCTTGGCCGTAGGGGTCGACCTATTCTTTTTTGGCGGCGTCCCTTGGCCTTAAAGGGTGTTATTTCGAACTTGTCGAAATGTTAACCCGTCGTCATTTGGTCAATGCCGAACTCTTCTTTTTGGCGAAGGCCCTTGGCCTTAAAGGGTGTTATTTCGAACTTATCGAAATGTTAACCCGTCGTCGTTTGGTCGATGTCGAACTCCTTTTTGGCGAAGGCCCTTGGGTGTTATTTCGAACTTATTGAAATGTTAACCCGTCGTCGTTTGGTCGATGTCGAACTCTTCTTTTTGGCGATGGCCCTTGGCCGTAGGGGTCGACCTATTCTTTTTTGGCGACGACCCTTGGCCTTAAAGGGTGTTATTTCGAACTTATCAAAATGTTAACCCGTCATCGTTTGGTCGATGTCGAACTCTTCTTTTTGGCGAAGGCCCTTGGCCTTAAAGGGTGTTATTTCGAACTTATCGAAATGTTAACCCGTCATTGTTTGGTCGATGTCGAACACTTCTTTTTGGCGAAGGCCCTTGGCCTTAAAGGGTGTTCCCTGGGGGAGTCCCAATTTGCTTAATTTTGCTAGCATTGGAGAATATGACGTATTTCCTGGGGAGTCCCAGTTTGCTTAATTTTGCTGGCATTGGAGAATATGATGTATTTCTTGGGGGAGTCCTAGTTTGCTTAATTTTGCTGGCATTGGAGAATATGATGTATTTCTTGGGGGAGTCCTAGTTTGCTTAATTTTGCTTGCATTTGAGAATATGATGTATTTCCTGGGGAGTCCCAGTTTGCTTAATTTTGCTTGCATGGGAGAATATGATGTATTTCCTGGGGGAGTCCCAGTTTGCTTCTGCTTCTATTCCACTTAGAGAAATAGTCAGTTAAAACAAAATAAAAGCGTCCGTTACCTCGATTTGATCGGTCGACTAGTGGATAGGAGTGACCATATTCCCTTCTCCGGTTATGCTTTCAGTGGCCGCTACCAATTTTGGCGTGGCTGTCCGTTTTAGTAAAGTTTTTTTTTTGTTGTACAGATAGCATATTATGATATTTCAAACATAAAGTTAAGATTGCTCCATCTGCCCTCTTTTTCCACTTTGGCGTTCTATGGGCTGTCATTTTCTTGAGTTCGTTTTGTGCAATTGCAGCCCTTCCATCTTTGTAACTTGGAAGTTTTTTAACTTCTATGTCTAAGCTCTTTTTATTTAAGACAATTGAACTCGTAAGTCCTTGAAGTCACTTATCTGTTTTCTACAGTTGAAATATATAATCAAATTTATCCAATGATAAGAAACGCCTTTGATTTGGCATTTAAAGAACACGGAAGTTGTACGAATATTCTCTTATACGGATAGTATATTAAAAATTTGAAGCTGCAGAAGCGAAAGAGAGTTTAAGAAAGCTATTTCGTCTTTCCATGTTATGCTAGATAGCCGTACTAGGAAATATCTACCATGAACAGAACGTGGAACTGGAATTGAATTCCAGATCTAGAGGAAACTAAAATTCTAACTAGAAAATCCCCACAGATGGCGCCAAATTGTTTGACTCTAAAGATATTGAAACCTTTTTGAACAAATCAATCAAAGAAAATAAAGGGTAAATCCTAGTTAAG